CACTCACTCACACACTCACTCACACACTCACACACTCACACACTCACACACTCACTCACACACCTGCTGAAGGCTGTCTCGCAGTAAGCCCTGGTCTTCTGGATGTGCAAACTCCAGAACGTTCTTCCCCAGTAGCTCCTGTGTCACACAACAACACAAAAGATGAAAAACACTGCAAGACTAGTGAAGCACCCAATTATTATAATAACAATAATAATAATTACATTTATTTAATAACCAGTATTCAAATAAAACTGACTTTTGTATAATACATTTAAATTGCATTTTTAATGACACAGTTACTCCAAATCATGAAATATAAACATTTAAACAGTGTCTGTAAACATACATTAACTAATGAAGAAACAGGTTAAGTAAAAATAAAACGAATATGTAACACATATTGCATATATTTATCAAACTGCTCCTCAGGTTTTTGTTTTCTAGCTAACTAATGAGTTTATGGACACTGAATATCCTTCCTGACGTAAACGTAATTGTTCACAAGCTGTTTTACTGGTAATAAATGTGTCTTTCTGCAGTTTAAACACTGATTGATCGATTACACAAGATATGATTAATTTCAGTAAGTTATTCTGTTTCTTTCAACACCTTCTGATGTTCATTCATGGTTATTTGGTGCTATAACTAGTAGTAAAGAGGAAGAGATGATCAGTTCACATGTTGCTTGAACTGAGGCTACAGCAATCTCACATTAAACAGTGTCAAATCCACATGTATTGTTTGTATTTTGTGATAAAGCTGACAGGCTTTGAACGATCAGATTTTGTTTTATATCAAAAGTAACGAAGCTTATCGTGATTACTGCATGGTATGTGTGCTACAAATAAAGACAACTGAAAATAACGCTGACTAAAAGATCTTGGTGCATCACTGGTGGACAGTGGAGCTCATCAGTGATACTCAACAAATGCAGAGGCATCATCTTAACATCCTGCTCTGCAGAAATGACCCTGACTCGGGTTTCTGAGGCCCACCTGAGGCTGGAAGCCCACCGTCGCCTGACAGCGGTGATCCACAAAGGTGTAGAGGCCCTGACAGTTGTGGCGGGAAATAAATTCCACTGGAACGCTGATGTTATTTATGTTTGTGTCGCTCGGGCAACATGTGACCTGCACGACAAAACAGAGGTCAGAGAGAATCTTAAAGAGACAGTTCTCCCAAAAATAACAATTCTGTCATCAATTACTCACTCTAAACATGCTGTTCCAAACCTGTATGACTTTTGTTCATCTTTGAAATCTAAATGATTATTTATTTTTAATTAAACCTGAGAGATTTCTGTTCGACCAACGAAAGTCAATGCAACCAAAACTTTTACGATTCAAAAAGTTCATAAAAACACTGTAAAATGATCCATATGGATTGAGAGATTTAATCCAGACTGTCTGAAGAGACACAATCGCTTTATATTTATACACACGAGAACAAACCTCATTGCTTCTTGAGCGTCAAACAAGCACATTTGATGAGCTCGATCAATGTTTATATGTGATTAAAAAGCTAAATTAAAACTTGTATTACTTTTACCATTTCTTTATGAATTTTTTGAATTGTCAAATCTTTGGTGGAATGGACTTTCAATGTAGAGACAGAACTAGTTAATTACAGACCTATCTCGAATCTCCCTTTTCTGTCCAAGATACTAGAAAAAGGTAGTATCCTCACAATTATATTCCTTCTTAGAGAAAAATGGTATCTGTGAGGATACCCTTGGGAGATATCATCAGGAAACACGGTGTTAGCTTCCACTGTTATGCTGATGATACTCAGCTCTATATTCTTTGCAGCTCTATATTCAGTCTTCGCAGCCCGGCGAAACATACCGATTTGAAAAACTAGCGGAATGCATAGTCGATATAAAAAACTGGATGATGAGTAATTTCTTACTGCTACCACAGCCCTGAAAGACAGCGGAGACCAGGACAACTAGATGAGCCCCAGTTACAGATCCCCTGTAAAGACCTTGTCTCAGACGACCACCGGGACAAGCCAACACGAACCGGTTGAGTCCTCTGCACAATGTGACTTTGCTGCAGCCTGGAATTGAACTGCTGGTTTCGTCTGGTCAGAGGAGAACTGGCCCCCCGACTGAGCCTGGTTTCTCCCAAGGTTTTTTCTCCATTCTGTCACCGATGGAGTTTTGGTTCCTTGCCGCTGTCGCCTCTGGCTTGCTTAGTTGGGGACGCTTCATTTCCAGCGATATCGTTGACTTGATTGCACAGATACTATTTAAACTGAACTGAACTGGATGTTGACATCACTGAATTCAATGATGAACTGTCTTTAACTGAAAAATGAGTGTTTACTATTGTCATTTTGCATTATTGACACACTATTTTCCTAATTAATGCAGTTAAGCTGATTTGACACAATCTGTATTGTTAAAAGCGCTATATAAATAAAGGTGACTTGACTTGACAGAAATCTCTCAGGTTTCATTCAAAATATCTTTATTTGCATTTTGAAGATAAACAGTTATATTTATATTATAACAGTTATATTTATTTCGGGCTACCAAAATCTGAAGAGTGCCTGTCCGAAAGGCTACCAGGGATTTTGACATTTTGCGAGCCCTGCACAATTTTCATTTTTGAGGTGTTTGTCATAAATGAGTCAATGTTGCTTTTACAAATGATTAAAGTGAATAAAGATAAAGAGCAGCATGAACAAGGGGCTAAACTTGCCCTTCATAGAAATATATGAGATAAGATATGAGTAAATGACAACAGAATTGTGCAAACTATTCCTCTGAATGTGACAAATCTAATTCACTGGAAACTGAAATAAAACGGAAGGGGGAAAGTACCTGTAGCCTTCCAATGGCGACTAGACAGAAATGATTTCCCTGATTATTATCGGCCTCCTCTTCAGCAAGAGTCACTCCTGAGAGAGCAAGACAGAGGGGATGAAGGCACAATACAAGTCTCAGTTGTGTTCTGACTGGACTGTGGGATTCAGCTCAGCTCTCTGTGAACAATAAACACTTCCTCTGCGTTGTGCTGTGGATCGTGTTACCTGCAGGAGGCCAGGACTTGATGAAGCCTGTGCAGTGCACGACCGCATACTGCGTCTCACCCTCCTTAGCAGGACCCAGTCCATTCCTGCAGAAGAAGAGATGGCCTTCATCTACATCTGTGTGCAGACTGAGATCTATATACACAGACAGAGAGCTGCCGTACCTGTTTCTGCTTCTCAGGAAGTTGAGTCTGTTAATGGACACCGGCTCTACGGGACACACTCCACATCTGGACGGACGGACACACACACACACACACACACACACACACACATTACAATCCATGCATCAGAGATATTTCACAACAGTAAAAATAGTTCACATTGTAAATATAATTTAAGGCTTTTTTAAAACATATTTGTTTTTTCTGAGTATGCAAACAGTGTCATTATTGAACAGTTTATTTAAAAAAAAAATATGTTATCTGTTTTTGTTGAGAATCATATTTGATGCATCAGGCTTTTATGGCTCATTCAGTGAGAATGTGAAGGGAAAAACAGCTCAATTTTATTCAGAGGCCCAAACGGAGCAAAAATATGCCGCAGATGCTGATATTTACACAGACAAAAAGTAAGATAACATTCTGATGCCTGTAATGTAAATCAATGAGATCTTTATAACAGAATAGCAGATGCTTACATAAAATGTTATATAAATTATATAATATGTCTTAGTAAGATGAGATTGAAATGATCCACACATATAATGCAATGCAATCCAGTGCTGATTCAGAGCTGAAGAAATAAAGGCTCCTCAGAAGATGTGAGATGTTCTGGAGGCTTGTGAAGATCATTCCTCCGCTGAGGAACAGTGAAAGTAAAGCTTCTGGAAACAAACGCTCCTCAAAAGATCCTGATGATCAGATTTGAGACTCTAAAACATGATTGATGGAGAATCAAGTAAAGCTGAGCTGCTTCAGTCCAGTAAGTGTTCATCTGGAAATATTACTAGTTATTCTGACGCTTACTTGATAAAAATCAGTAAAGATTCACAGCAGAAAGACACGTGAAGCTCCAGCTGAAGGAGGACTTCCGCACAATTACACTAAAAGGCCTGTTACTTGCTTTGTTCTTCCTGTTCCTCACCTCATCCTGCAGATGAAGGAGCGGCGTGCTACCATACTCATCCTCACTGAGGCCTGCCCACCCTCTTTCTTCACCGTGCCTGTTTTCATGTCCAACATCCGGCCTACAGTCAGAAAAGAGGAAGACGAGTTAAACAGAAAAAGACTGACATCACAGAGGCCGGCAGATATAGAGTCGTTTCTCACCGGCGTTGTTGTTCTCGCTGGTGGAGAGGTGCTCTCGGAGTTTCTCTGTGTCCTCTGGATGAAGCTGGTCGTACAGCGATGATCCGAGCCAATCCGACTGAGCCTGGTTCAGAACCGGTGTGACAGAGTCCGACACATAAACCACACGGCCGGTTTCACACGACACCACGAACAGAAAACCATCAGCCGCCTCCAGAACCAGGTGCTTCAGCTCCTACAGAGAGAGGACACGGTGAACAGAACATCATGAAAATTATTCAGTTCTGGTATTAAAAAAAAAAAAAAAAAAAAAAAAGTTAAATTCCCAGATATTCAATTCTCTAAGAAGTTCTCAAATATTTACTTAATTGTTTTGCTTAGGAAGAAAACGTTTAGGTGGTATATGATTGTTTGGCAATTTCTTGGCAAAGACTTGCTTATCGGTTCAGTGAAAAACACCTCAGAGGCGCCAAAGGTAATAATCATAATAGTGCACACTATTTTCATTCACCAGGGTTATGATTGTTAACCAAAACCATTATAAAATTGCTTTAAGTAAAATAAGCGTTACTGAAAAAAGTACATTGATTTTAGCTAGTTGCCAAGACAACATCTCCCGTTTTTCTTTAGTTTAAGTCAAAGTACTAAAATAACTAAACATAATAAACTAAAACAAATAAAAATTAACAAATACTTTATACACACACATTAAAACAAATACCACATTAAAAAAAAAAAAAAAAAAAAAAAAAAAAAAACATTACTAAAACTTTCAAATTAAAGTGAAAAAAATTAAATCTGAATATTTGGTTTATATTTCAAACAACCCAGCAAATTCATTAAACGTCTTACCTTTGAGGATTTAAGACAAGTTTATTTGCAAAGATTTTTAGAAAGATTCTTTTCAAGAATCTTAAGAAAAAAAAAAAAGAGAAATTACATTCATATGAAGTATTTTTTTGGAATACAAACTATTCTTAACTTTTCTTCTTATTTTCTTAAAGGGATAGTTTACTAAAAAATGTAAAAATCCCGTCAGCATTTACTCACTCTCAAGTTGTTCCAAACCTGTATGAATTTCTTTCTTCTGTTGAACACACAAGAAGATATTTTGAAGAATGTGTGAAACCAAACAGTTTCTGGTCCTTACTGACGTTCACAGTATTTTTTCTATACTACTGAAGTCAATGGGGACCAGAAACTGTTTGGTTTCACACATTCTTCGAATTATCTTCTTGTGTTCATACAGGTTTGGAACAACATGAGAGTGAGCAGTAGTAGAAGTTATTTTTATTGCCATCTTCATGGCAAAAACTGAGTTGGGATAATACTAGAGTTACATAAACACCAAGCAAACACAAAAATACAGCAGTTAAAATTATACAAGATTTTTTTAAATTAACATACGATAAAAAAAACTAAAATCTTTTCTGGTAAATTCTTACTAAACAAGTCACTGAGTGAGCGTACTTCATAAAAAAAACTTTTCTACTTTTTAAAACCGGGACAATCCAATAAAATATGTTTCATGGAAAGGGGGGGGGGGGGGGGGGG